GAGAAACTTACAAAAAATTCCCAATTTTGGACATAAATGTTTTTTCCCAATGTGCCAACCATGAGAATTTAGTTAAACATGTTTAAAATCCAAGATAAATCATTTGCTTAATTTATCTGTCTCTTCAGTAGTAGAGAGTGTCAGACTAAGTTCATTGGCTACCATCAACAATTGTGACGATACTGAAACAAATTCAAATTGTTTATGAATGGTTGCATACCAAAGTTATTCAAACTTTCCTGAAATAGAAACATATATATGTGACCCACTAGTAGAAAAGGTACGTTATAGGTGCTAGGATAATATTGTGTTGTGACGTCATCAGGAAGGACGTTTGACGTCAACTTACTTCGGTATAACTCGCCATGTGTGCGAACTGTATAAAATTATCTTGTTTTTCTCTTGTTAGTTTGTAATGTAATAAAAACATTATTTCAAAACATTCCAGCACACGTCTTCTCTCAATTAAAGGGTCGGGTAGCCTAGTGGTTAAAGCGTTCGCTCATCACGCCGTAGACCCGGGTTCGATTCCCGACATTGGTACAATGTGTGAAGCCCATTTCTGGTGTCCCCCACCGTGATATTGCTGGAATATTGCTAAAAGCGGCGTAAAACCGTACTCACTCACTCACTCTCTCAATTACATCACATCTAAAACCTGCAATCATTACATAAACAGTTATAAGTCTGAAAAGGGGACTTTGCAGAAAATGAGTCGCAATGTTTGATGCCAGATGCCAATAATAAATATGAATTGAAGCTTATGAATTATATTTTTGTGGTCCTAAGATACTGTAGTTTCAAAATAAGATAAGAAGTCAAAACGAGATTTTTCATCCATCAGGTCCCTGATCTCATGGGTGGCCACATTTGTTTCTGCCTGTAGACAAGTCATAGACTCTGGGCTCCTGGGGCGGTCGGGTAGCCCAGTGGTTAAAGTGTGCGCTCATCACGTCGAAGACCCAGGTTCGATTCCCGACATGGGTACAATGTGTGAAGCCCATTTCTGGTGTCCCCCTTCTTGATATTTCTGGAATATTGCTAAAAGCAGCGTAAAACCGTACTCACTCACTCACTCCACTCTGGGCTCCTTCAACTGGAGAATGTGTTGTTGCATTATTGTTTACAATGAGTCAATGAATGCAGTTGTGTCACGCGGACCAGTGGTTAAAACAATTATGAAATTCCAAAGTTATTACAGCATGATGACATGTAGTTCGCTAAAAACTGATTTTTAATGCCCCATTTTTGTCTTCTTTTATGACATGCATGATTAACCAGTGGAGCTGTTTTGACTGGTATCATGACATGGTTCCTCCTGTGGAAGTAGAGCAGCTGAGAGCTGACGTGTGTGTTCTGGTTTTCTTAATCTCAGCCAGGTACACTTTATAACCTCAGGACTTAACCATATTGGTCATTACACCTATATCGGATACGTTGTAGAGTTAAACGTGTCCTATTTCAGTTCAGAAAAGAATGATAGAAGTTTATTCCACAGTATTTTAAACTTCAGAATGGAGTTGCTATGTATTATGGCGCAAGACCACCCCGTGTCTTATCATTGAAGTGGATAGTTTAATGCACAGACTAACTAACCTTTTCAGCGATAAGACTCCAGACATGTGAATGCGTAACCTATTTAAAACATGGCCAACATTCAGCTAAGCTGTGAGTCACTAACTTAATGCTTGTTAAGTGAGCCTTTTACACATTCAGATTGTTGTTTGTCAACATGGGTTTTGAATGCATGTCCTGGGGTAAGTATGTAATTCATACAGGACCAACTTAGATAAGACCTGCCCATGTTGATAGGCCTATTATGAGCCAACAGCCCTGATCAAGAACATGAAAACTCTTTTTTCTGACCCTTATTTCCTTGAAGGAAAATCTGCCTCATCCTGTTAACGTAAAGATCCAGGGCAGAATACGTCTTCACATCTATATATGTTTTACATTGTTGTTAATATATTACACAAGCATTGAAGATCCGGGGTAGAATAGGTATTCAGCATCCCATGCTTGCTGTTAAAGGGGACTATGCTTGTCGATGATTTACAGGCCGCTGTCATACAGCTGGAATATTGCTAAGTGTGGCGTTAAACAACAAACCAACCAATCTGGTTAATGTGTGTGAAACAGAATTTTCATATTGAAAAAGAATGATCAAACTTTCATTGGCACAGGCAAGTATACACTAACATTGAAAACATCACATGGATATTGTATTTATAATATCTAATTTGTGTATTTTCCTTCAATTACATTCACTGTAATGAATATTTCCGCCACACTGCCTGAACCCTCCACACTTTATTGCGGCAGATGTTTGAATAGTTCACACTATTGTATCATGACTAGCATCTCATTTCGAGATATAACATTTGTGTTGGGGCCTGAAGAGTGCAATCATTTAAAATTTAAAATAAAAATTTAAAATGAATGATTTTCAATAAGAGTGTTTGAGTTAAAATTTAACATCACATCGGCAATATTTCAGCCATATCGTGCCTAGAGAAAAATTTTAATAAGAATTTCAATTTGTTGTATGTGTGCCAAAACAGGCAGCAAACTCAATATCTAGTTTAAATTACTGGCAATACATTTTGGAAAAAAATTGCATTTTTTGTCTTCATTCACTTGTCAGAATTTAAGAAATTGTAATGATTCTGTCTGCCTGTCTGTCATGTAATATGGCTGTGATGATGATGATCATGATGATATTGTGATACAGACAATCTGACTGGAATATGCTGACTGCTGGTGCCACTGGCCAGCTGATCCTTATAGCATTATATGGACTTGCTGTTTCATGCACCTGGCCAAACAATTCAGTGATTGATATCATGAGCATTGATCCACACAATTAGAATCGATGACATGCATCAACCAAGTCAGCTAGCCTGACCACCCGATCCCGTTAGTCGCCTCTTACGACAAGCATAGTCGCTTTTTACGGCAAGCAAGCGTTGCTGAAGACGCATTCTACCCCGGATCTTCACAGGTCCTCATAAAAAAGAGCATCTATTCATTACACTCATTATAGCTTACATGCTGGTTTCGGGAGCACGGGTGGCCCAGTCGTCTGAGGCGCCGCGATTCGCTGTGCAGAGTTGCATCCCTTGGGCACGCCAGAAACCTATGGTTGAGGGTGTGAATCCCGGTTCGCCCCGATTATGTTTCTAGGTTTGTCAGCACCATACCCGTGCTCGTGGGTTTCACCGAAGTGGTAAACGTCTGAGACCTGCATCATTTCGGGCTTTCCTCCCACATTAAGCTGACACGCCGCGATATAACTGGAATACTGTTAAATGTAGCGTTAAACCAAACTCACTCACTCACTACATGCTGGTTTCCGTTTTTCTATCAAAGGCTCACTCTGCATGAACAGGCCTGTTACATGCAATTAATATGTTCACATACTGGTTGATTTGTAACATGTCTAAAATGAACCAATGGAGACATGAATTTGTTGTAATTATCAAAATTACAATGCACAGTCAGGTAGAGATGTTAGCATTGAGGTGCAGTCTATATATAACAACCCCTAGACGTGTGACGATCCGGGGTAGAATAGGTCTTCACCTCTACATATATGTGACATTGTTAATAATATAATACATGACCTGTGAAGATTTGGGTTAGAATAGGTCTAAAAAGGCGTAAAAGGCAACTATGCTTGTCGTAAGAAGCGACTTACGGGATCGGGCGGTCAGGCTTCTGACTTGGTTAATGCATGTCATCGATCCCAATTGCGTGGATCGATGCTCATGATATCAATCACTGGATTGTCTGGTCCAGACTCGATTATTCAGAGCTCCAGATAAGCTTTTGGTGTTGTGGGTATTTTACCCATGCATTTAAAAATCATTGGGTATCAGTAATTCTATCTGGGTATTCAAATTTCTGTTACTCTCTAGTTTTTACACATGTGGGTATTTTAGTTAAATATTTAAAAACACTATTCATCTAGTCCCTGCAAACTGGTGTCGTGTGGGTTCGAGAGCTTTATGGGACTCAAAAATACCGCGATACTTCCACAAGAAAGTGTGCTGGCAAATGATCATGATGTAACTGGCAAGGTTGACGGAATGTCCGTATATAATTTCAAAATAAGTTGCTGATTTGCTAATCATTTGCTAATTGAATATGCAGGGTTACTTCACAATATTTTGATGATACGCACAAGTTTTATTTTTGTAGCGTATCTGTAATGTTCGTTGCGTATATAATACGCACTCGTGTGTTATATGCACCCTTATGGGCAATGAAATACTGGAAAAACATATCTGTCGTATATAAACATTTCAGGCTGTCAGCATAAACCACGAAATCTATCTTTCAACTCTGTTTTTTTGCCAAAATACCATTCCAATAAGAGCCCCCTATTTCTAATTTTGAGAGCGCCCTAGGCGCTATTTCATCGAATACGGTATACATTATGGCATTATGGGCTGGAGGCCTAATGACTGAATAAATCTTGTCTTGCCTCTTGTCTTGTTGGGGCGATCGGGTACCCTAGTGGTAAAAACTCCACCATACTCACTCACTCACTCACTCACTCACTCACTCACTCTCTCTCTCTCTCTCTCTCTCTCTCTCTCTCACTCACTCACTCACTCACTCTCTCTCTCTCTCTCTCTCTCACTCACTCACTCACTCACTCTCTCTCTCTCACTCACTCACTCACTCACTCACTCACTCTCTCTCTCTCTCTCTCTCTCTCACTCACTCACTCACTCACTCTCTCTCTCTCTCTCTCTCTCTCTCTCACTCACTCACTCACTCTCTCTCTCTCTCTCACTCACTCACTCACCCACCCACCCTCCCTCCCTCCCTCCCTCCCTCCCTCCCTCCCTCTCTCTCTCTCACTCACTCACTCACTCACTCACCCACCCACCCACCCACCCTCCCTCCCACCCACCCACCCACCCACCCACCCTCACTCACTCACTCACTCACTCACTCACTCACTCACTCACTCACTCTTGTCTTGTTTTCAGTGAATGGAAGAAAGAGATAAAGAAACAGAAAGAAACAGGAAAGAAGCCCAGTTTGATGCGAGCCCTAGCACGATGTTTTGGTGTACAGTACATGCTGTTGGGAATCATTGTCTTCATAGAGGTGAGTAGCTTGTAGTCTGTGTGGATCACCAACATTTGGATGAGAGTATAGTACTGTTTTCACCACGTTACGCATCTGGCCAATCAGCTCCCCTTCCCAGCTTCTAGACCAGAGTGCTTGTAGTCTATATAAGTGCCTCCAAATAAGTCTGTAATTTCTTGTGTGTATTACATATATCTTTAACAGAAAACAGAAGCATTAAAAGGTTTTATAATTTTAAAGTTACTATCAGGGCTCCAGATAAGTTTTTAAAGAATCAAATGACGTCAACAAAGCCGTCCAGATGCAGAAACAATAATTCTCGTCTTGTCTCGTGATGTGATATGACTTTAGGGCACATATGATTTTTATGACCCCGGATATGTTTGCCCTCGTAGGTAATAAATAAGTGACAACAGGACTTCAGTGATATATGACTAGAATATTTGAGTTCATTGTCACAGGTGTGGGAGTGATGATTATGCAGTATTTTGTTAACGTGCCTGTTTGTCCATGTATGACACATAAAGAGAGTCCACGACATTTGCATGCAATACATTAAACTGCAGGCATGTGAGACTGGCAGAGAAGAAATGTTCTCTTTTATCTTTTCAACATTCCAATCATGCCAATCATACCAATCATACAAATCATGCCAGTCATACCAATCACACCAGTCATACCAATCATACCAATCGTACCAAACATGCCAATCACACCAATCATACCAATCATGCCAATCACATCAATCATACCAATCATGCCAATCACATCAATCATGCCAATCACATCAATCACACCAATCACACCAATCGTACCAATCGTACCAATCGTACCAAACATGCCAATCATACCAATCAAGCCAATCATGCCAGTCATACCAGTCATACCAGTCACACCAATCATGCCAATCATACCAAGCATTCCAATCATGCCAATCATACCAATCATGCTAGTCACACCAGTCACACCCATCATACCAATCATGCCAACATACCAATCATACCAATCACAACAATCATGCCAATCATACCAATTATGCCAGTCATACCAATTATGCCAGTCATACCAATTATGCCAATCATACCAATCATACAAATCATGCCAGTCATACCAATCACACCAGTCATACCAATCATACCAATCGTACCAAACATGCCAATAACACCAATCATGCCAATCACACCAATCATACCAATCATGCCAATCACATCAATCATACCAATCATGCCAATCACATCAATCATGCCAATCAAATCAATCACACCAATCACACCAATCGTACCAATCATACCAAACATGCCAATCACACCAATCATACCAATCAAGCCAATCATGCCAGTCATACCAGTCATACCAGTCACACCAATCATGCCAATCATACCAAGAATTCCAATCATGCCAATCATACCAATCATGCTAATCATACCAGTCACACCAGTCACACCCATCATACCAATCATGCCAACATACCAATCATACCAATCACAACAATCATACCAATTATGCCAGTCATACCAATTATGCCAATCATACCAATTACGCCAATCATACCACTCAGAACAGTCATGCCAATCATTCCACTCAGAACAATCATACCACTCAGACCAATCATTCCACTCAGAACAATCATGCCAATCATACCAATTATGCCAGTCATACCAATTATGCCAATCATACCAATAATGCCAATCATACCAATCATACCAATTATGCCAGTCATACCAATTATGCCAGTCATACCAATTATGCCAGTCATACCAATTATGCCAATTATACCAATTATGCCAATCATACCAATTACGCCAATCATACCACTCAGAACAGTCATGCCAATCATTCCACTCAGAACAATCATACCACTCAGACCAATCATTCCACTCAGAACAATCATGCCAATCATACCAATTATGCCAGTCATACCAATTATGCCAATCATACCAATTATGCCAATCATACCAATCATACCAATTACGCCAATCATGCCAATCATACCACTCAGAACAGTCAAGCCAATCATTCCACTCAGAACAATCATACCACTCAGACCAATCATGCCAATCAGAACAATCATGCCAATCATACCAATTATGCCAGTCATACCAATTATGCCAGTCATACCAATTATGCCAATCATACCAATTACGCCAATCATGCCAATCATACCACTCAGAACAGTCATGCCAATCATTCCACTCAGAACAGTCATGCCAATCATTCCACTCAGAACAATCATACCACTCAGAACAATCATACTAGTCATACCACTCAGAACAATCATGCCAATCAGAACAATCATGCCAATCACACCACTCAGAACAATCATACCACTCAGAACAATCATACCTCTCAGAACAATCATACTAGTCATACCACTCAGAACAATCATGCCAATCAGAACAATCATGCCAATCACACCACTCAGAACAATCATACCACTCAGAAAAATCATACCACTCAGAACAATCATACCACTCAGACCAATCATACCACTCAGACCAATCATACCACTCAGAACAATCATACCACTCAGAACAATCATACCACTCAGAACAATCATGCCAATCATACCACTCAGAACAATCATGCCAATCAGAACAATCATGCCAATCATACCACTCAGAACAATCATACCACTCAGACCAATCATACCTCTCAGAACAATCACACCACTCAGAACAATCATACCACTCAGAACAATCATACTACTCAGAACAATCATACCACTCAGAACAATCATGCCAATCAGAACAATCATACCACTCAGACCAATCATACCACTCAGAACAATCATACCACTCAGACCAATTATACCACTCAGAACAATCATACCACTCAGAACAATCAGAACAATCAGAGCAATCATGCCAATCATACCACTCAGAACAATCATACCACTCAGACCAATCATGCCAATCAGAACAATTTCATTCTTCACTAAACATATTCCTCACACATGGCTAGGAACCGATTTCACTATATCCAAGTTGCACCAGTGCAGGTAAAACATTGCTAGTGCAGCTAGTGCCAGGTTGCGCCCAGTGCAGGTAACATTTCCCACCACAAGTGCATGGCTGCAGTTTTAGTTTTATGACTTTCCTGTAAATAATGTCTACTCCTTTTGTGTGTATCAGGTTAAGATAAATTACTGGACGTTAAAAATGTGACCAAATCTGTTCTCATGCCCATAAATGAGTTACGAAGACCACATGCTATGTCAACGATCTTTTCACGTTTCATGGAACATCAGAGAGGTCGCAGTGTCGTACGTCTCTGGTAAGGGCTTTGGTAAGGGGTTTGGTTATGTGCACTCAATCGCCTGCAGGGTAGTGGTCACTGGCTAGTGTGTTACTCATAATGGTGGACAAGTTGAATTTGCTGACAGATTTTCTCACTGTCATACGGAAAAGAAAAGATATTTATGAATGAAAATGTCAGCTATGTCTCAAAACATTCTTCCATGTGAGCAGGACTGTGCATAGTGGAGCTGGCCAGAATATACCTCTCGTTCTGCTGATAAAGAATTGCCTGCTGTCAGTGACAGCCATAGGATTGTTTATAGCCCTGTCGGGGTGGTCGAATAGCCTAGTGGTTAAAGCGTTCGCTCATCATGCCGAAGACCAGGGTTTGATTCCCGAATTGGGTACAATGTATGAAGCCCATTTCTGGTGACCCCCGCCGTGATATTGCTGGAATATTGCTAAAAGCGGCGTAAAACCGTACTCACTCACTCACTCATAGACCTGTCAGTGAAACTGCCAACACAAACGTTTCTAAATGTAACAAGAGACTGTCCTACTCCTAGTAGCATCAGTAATGACGTCGAGAAGAAAGTGAAAACTTATTCCTTTAGAAATAGCTGGGCAAACAGTAGGGATTGACTTCATTATAAAGAAACAGAAAGTTTGATGCACTGTCATGCAAATGTGGAAAGCTGAATTCTTTTAGAACTGGCTGCCAATGTTTTAGACTCCAGGAAGTAAAGGTTCATGAAAGTTGTGAAATACACAGGAGGTCTGAATGCAGTGAACTTGCAGAGCTTTGTGCTAAAACTAATTCTCTCACACATATACACATGTATGCACGTCACTAGGGATGGGTATTGGCGGTTATCACAATATTTTGCTGTGCACAAGGCCGTATTGCGATACGTATCATGACATATTGTATAATTATGAATTTTGAATTCTGGAGCAATCTGATACATTAAGGTATGAATTGAAGTTCATAAACGGAACAAAACGAGATGCTGGTACAACACAATGTTTACTCATTCAATAAATACATAATCATCTTTGGACTTTGGATGCAGCGAAGGCATTTCGCAAGTATGTGACAATGAACACATCATAAAAATCACTATTTAAAATCAGCCGATATATCGAGCATGAAAAAATGATATTGTTATACTATGGGAAAGAATGAACCTCAATTTACTGATATACCGATAATACCACACACCCTTACACGTCACTATTTGAGTGCAATAATCTTGAATGCAACGTTAAAACCCATTTCACCTAACCAACCGCCGTCATATAGCTGCAATATTGCTGAGTGCGGCGTTAAACAGCAAACAAACAACTTCAGCAGAAAGTAAAACTAAATGCTGAAACACCACATAGGGTTTTGTATTGATACTTACAGAGTATTTTATCATTGCCTTAGTAGGGGGCACGGGTGGCCCAGTCGTCTAAGGCGCCGCGATTCGCTGTGCAGAGTTGCGTCCCTTGGGCACGCCAGAAACCTATGATTGTGGGTTCGAATCCCGGTTCGCCCCAATTATGTTTCTAGGTTTGTCAGCACCATACCCGTGCTCGTGGGTTTCACCGAAGTGGTAAACGTCTGAGACCTGCATCACTTCGGGCTTTCCTCCCACATTAAGCTGACACGCTGCGATATAACTGGAATATTGTTAAAAGTGGCGTTAAACCAAACTCACTCACTCACTCACTCATTGCCTTAGTAGATGTGACTATTGGAATTGTAGATACATTGCAGTACATTGCCAAATGAATATG